TACAATGACAATGTTATGGCCCATTTTAGGAAGGTCTTAAAGGAATGGGAAGTACAGAGCTCTATGGACAGATATGTTGTGCAACAGAGGTCCAGTGACTCTCAAGCTGGTCCTAGTGGCATTAAAAGAAGAAGGGAAGTAACCCCGGAAAAGGACTTGCTACCTCAAGTCCTAATGGAAGGGGATTCCTCTTCTAAACAATAACTTCCACACACTCCCCTCCTCCTATCCCAACAATCACCACCAGATCTTCAATAAACGTAAGTGTCATGTATTCTATTCTTAGTAGAGTAGTAATTGTGCATATTCTTCAGTTTGTGTGTATTTAAATTAATATTTCATGTGGTAAAAAATTTTTTTTTTCATACTTTGGGGTGTCAGGAACGGATTAATTTGATTTCCATTATTTTTTATGGGGAAAATTAATTCAGCTAACGATAATTTCGGCTTACGATGAGCTCTCAGGAATGGATTAATATCGTAAGGTGGGGGTCCACTGTATATATTATATTTCTGTTTATTATGTCATATTAGATGAACTGTGATAGATAAATAAGCCATACAGTTGATATTAGTGTCATATTCAAGTAGTATTTTGTCTTGTCTCCAGAGTGCAGGAACGGTTTAATGGTTTTTCAGTTAATTTAAATGAGGAAAACCGATTTGATATACGAGTAAATTGAGTTATGAGCTAGGTAATGGAACGGATTAAACTCATTAATCAAGGTTCCACTGTATATGAAAGGGGAAAGGTACACCTAGGGATTGGCAGTGTCTGTGTATGTGCATGCATAGTTCCTTTGTATGAAGGAAAGAGGGACAAACGAGTAAGAATTATAGAGGAATAAGCCTGTCGAGTATACCAGGTAAAGTGCATGGTAGGCTTATTATTGAAAAAGTTAAGGGTAGAACAGACAGAAGCATCACAGATGAACAAGAAGGCTTTAGGAAAGGTAGGAGATTTGTAGACCAAGTGTTTACATTGAAGCATATAAGGAAGTTTTCATCGCATTTATGGATTTAGAAAAGTTATACAAGGTGAATAGGTGAGTAATGTGGTAGATGCTTCAAGTGTATGGAATAGGTGATAGGTTACTTAACCTTTTCAGGGTTGGTGCCATACTAGTACGGCTTACACGCCAGGGTTGGTGCGGTACTAGTATGCATGAATTCTAGCACCTCCAAATCTAACGAGAGAAAGCTGGTAGGCCTACATATGAAAGAATGGGTCTATGTGGTCAGTGTGCATGGTATAAAAAAAATCCTGCAGCACACAGTGCATAATGAGAAAAAAAAAAAACTTTTTGGTTTAAAACAGCGACTTTGCAGTGTATTTTCGTATGCTATTTATGGTTGTATTCTAGTTTTCCTGGCCTCATTTTATAGAATGGAAGATATATTATGGAAATTGAGATGATTTTGATTGTTTTCACAATGAAAAGTACATTGAAATTGAGCTCAAAGTAGCAGAAATGTTCAATTTTTGTCAAAATTCAAAAGTAAACAAATCATGCCACATGTCCAATATACATCAACTGGTGAGTGTAATATTCTTTCACAAGTGCCCTGATATTATTTATACCATTTCTACACGAATGCAGTAGTCTGCATAACATAAATCTTCTATTTTTTGTGAGAATAAAAATTCCAAGTGAAAAGCAAAAGAAATGTACCAGAGGCCTGGGGACATGAGTAATGAACAGAGGAAATGTTATTTAAGTGGGAGAAATGTCTGTCTTGTTTATTCTGGACCCTATTTGGAAATTGGCATCTTTTGAAATTTGTGTGAAATTGGCAAAATTGCCAATTTCTGACCATGTTATTGGATAGTGGAAATCGGTAAATGGGTGGGTTCTTGTACTCATTCGATAGAAAAAAATGGAGTTCTAGCGAAATAGGTATGATTTTTGTTGACTGGTACATTGGAAGTGGCCGAAAATAGGGCTCAAAGTGGGCGAAATCGCCGATGTGTAAACATCGTCGAGACCGCTAATTTTGCGAGAGCATAACGCCATAAGTTTTCCATCAAATTTCATACTTTTGGTGTCATTATGATCGGGAAAAGATTCTCTATCATTTCATAAGAAAACTTTTTTTTTTTTTTTTGAAAAATTTCCGACCCTGAGAACAAGTTTAGGAGAGGCCCTGCCGACCCTGAAAGGGTTCAAGTAGTGAAAAGTTTTAATGAAGATAGCAAAGCTCAGGTTTGTATATACAGGAAGATTATTTTCCAGTAAAACTAGGCCTGAAAACAGGGGTGTGTGATGCTACTGTGGTCGTTTAATTTTTGTAAGTGGGGTAGTAAGAGAAGTGAATGTTGGGGTGTTGTCACAGTTGCCTTCTGCTGATAACACTGCTTTTGGGAGATTCTGAAGAGAAGTTGCAAAAGTTGGTGGACAAATTTGGGAGGGTATGTAAAAGATGGAAATTAAAAGTGAACAAAGGAAAGAGCAAGGTGATGAGGATAACGAAAAATTAAGGTAATGAAAGACTGGATATCAGATGGAAGCAGCGATTATGAAAGAAATGCACATGTTCAGATATTTGGGAGTGGACTTGTCAGTGGATGGGTCTATGAAAGATGAGGTGAACCACAGACTGACAAGGTAAACAAAGGTGGGTGGTGCACTGAGGCATCTGTGGAGACAAAGCAAAAAGTAGGCTGGAGGCAGTGGAGATTTTGTGTTTGAGCGCAATATACCCACACATACTAGCTCAGCCATGGGCCAGGCTAGGATGTGTGGTGTGATTATTATTATTATTATTATGCAGAGAATTTAGTTTGGAGATTAAGAGGTGCAAGGTTACTAAAAGTATTATCCAGAAGGCTGAGGAGGGGTTGTTGAGGTGATTTGAACATTTAGAGGATGGAGAAAAATTGGATGACTTTGAGGGTGTATACAGCTGTAGTGGAGGAAAGGAGACATAGGGGTCATCCTAGGAAAGGTAGGAGGTAGGGGGTAAAGATGGTTTTTTATGTAAGGGGCTTGGGCATCCAGTGGGCATATGTGCATGTGTTAGACAGGAGTAAAGGCAATCTTGCCTTAATTGCCACCAGAGATGTTCATAAAGCTTTTGATAGCTTATGGCATGATGGCCTTATATACAAACTCATTGACCTACCAGACCATAACTGGACTTTTCTCAGAGTAATTTATAATTTCTTAACTCAAAGAAAAATCATTCCCACCTTTCATGGCAAGTCGACAGAACCTTTTATACCGACGGCTGGTGTCCCACAAGGTTCTTGTCTCAGTCCACTTCTGTTTAACATTTATGTGAATGACCTTCCTCAGCCAGAGTTTAATGACACAATTGTGACACAGTTTGCAGATGATGTTATTCATGTTGTCTCATCAACTCCAGTAACAGGAAAATACAAGTATGAGAGAGTCATAGAAAAAATGAATATTGAACTTCGTCGAACATCTAATTGGGAGAAGAAATGGAGAATTACGACTAATCCTGACAAGGTCCTTGTTAGCACGATAGGATGTTTTGCATCAACCATCGAAGATAAAGGGGGTATCTCCATCAGAGGTACACCTGTAGCCATTAGAAACCCTAACAAGATCTTGGGATATGAAATAGACAGGCTGCTCCACTCAACATCTCATGTAACTAAAAAGATCAACACAGCCAAAGCCGGTCTTAGCAGACTCTTTCGATTCAATCAAGCCCCTCAACATGTCAAAAAACATCTGTATAAAATGATAATAAGACCTATACTCGAATACCCTTGTGTCCCAATGTCATTAACAACAAAGACCAACATGCTACGGTTACAAAGGGTCCAGAATAGTGCTCTTTGCTTTATTACTGATACCAGGAGGAGAGAGTGTTAAAATGGCAGACTTACACACACAACAAGATATTACTGCCATAAATGTACGCCTTGACACCCTAAAAAAGAAACAACTTTATACAATGCAAGAACTATACATGCCAGATAGAGAACATCCTATACAAGTGATAAATACCACCGATTACACCATCAATACTCCGCCTTACAGGACTCAAAGAATGACTCTCCCACAGAGGGTTCGTCGTTTTATTCATAAAGATGATTACCCTCGACCCATGATTTTGAGCAACTTACCTGATGAAGAAGATTGGATACCACCAGAACCCTTCTATGTATACTGAGAAAATCATCGCCCCCAATTAGGGAGACATCTTAAATAACTTTCTAATGTAAAATTATGCTATTGACTATTGTTGGACACCACCATTAAGAAGCTATTGTCACGAACTTATAAACTGGCCAGAAAATTAATGCCTTTTTTGTCGTATAAATATCCGTTGTGCAATCGCGAAAAAAAAAAAAAAAAAAAAAAAAAAAAAAAAGCAATTGCAACTTGTATAACTACTACCAATTCAGAGTCATGTACTTATATACCTATTATATCTATGTGACTCTGATGGGTTAGTATTATACCCCTTAAAGAATATCTTATCAATTCACATACACTTTTTAAATTACACCAAAGTGGTTGGGCCACTTACCTTTTATATCCTACCTCTCCCCCCCCCTCCCCACCCTTTTCCAATATTTCCATCCTTACCCATCCTTCTTCCTTACCCATCTTACCAAAGCTCTGGTCATCAGAAGAAGTGGTTATGACTTGACATGCTGTTGGACTGTGAGGAAGGTAATATTAATTGATTTAAAGAAACCAGTTAGCCAGACTTTAGTCCTGTAGGTGGGGAAGTACAATGCCTGCACTGAAAAAGGGATGGGAATAATGCAGTTTGGAAGGCATCTGAAGTATAGTATTGGCATGCCTCTGGTAAAACAGTGATGGAGCGAGTAATGGTGAAAGCATTTCTTCTTTCTTGGGTCACCCTAACTCGGTAGAAAACAGCCAGTTAAAAAAAAAAAAAAAAGTGGAATTAGTGTGAACTGAAATGTTAACAACATTCAGTAAAAATTAAATACTGATACAGAAGATGATTAAATAATAAACTTGAAAACAGAACAACAAATGCTGAAAACTTACCTGGATTAATTAGATTAGCACTTCTGAAGGTTATGATGTCATCAGTGAAGAATTTTGAGTGGTGCTCATTAAGCCAGGCAATCTGAGGTGGTACCTTGTCCACTACACAAATACTTGAGGTCACATCAGTTGTCACAAGCTCAGATAAAATATGCCGTCCAATAAAGCCACATCCTGAAAAATAATTTTAAAGAACATTTATTATTACAAACAATTCATTATACTTCAATGAAGAAATGGTATAACCATAACCTGACTTGCATAATACAGTGTAATACAGGATATTTAATATCAATCTAGTAAGTTTTTTTTTTTTTTTTTTTTTTTTTTTTTTTTTACACATCAGTTTCCCTTGGATAATACATATTACATAAAGTTTTAAGTAAAACATTTACAATTTTTGTGAAAAGTTAAGAAACATGATAACTGATGCACATACGAACAAAGACTGCTTGCTGCTCTCAGGAGATTTCAACATAAATCTACTACATGACCAGGACCCACAAGTAACCGAATTCACAAACACTGAGCAACTGCTTGTTGCTACCAACAATAACAAAACCTACAAGAATCTCCGAGACTAGTATCTCCTTATTAGACCACATCTGGACTAACACCATATCCCCTTTAAAATCAGGCATAATCACAGACAACACCACAGACCACTACCCAACCTTTCTCATAACCAACCTAGGTAAACTGCCCCAAGTTACCTTCAGACTACATAATGAGAAGCTGTTCATAACTTTATAACAGCAATGAATAACACTGACTGGCATAATGAGCTTGAAACATATACAGATATGAATGAATATTAATAATTTAAAAAAAAATAACTAACAAGCATTGCCCTAAAAAAAACTAAACAGATCCCTGGCTAACACCCAGCATCCTTAAATCCATTAACACAAAGCACCTATATGAAAAACAGCACAGAATGGGTCAAGTAACTTGAGATCATTCTAAACGTTACTCGTCAATTCTTGCCAGCCTGATAAGGTCAAACAAATTGTATTATGAAAACAGATTACATAAAAGGTGATACGAAAAAGACCTGAAAAACCCCATCCAAAATTCTAGGAACTAAAGAGATATCCAAAAACAAAACAATCAAATTAACAATCAGACGAACCCCTACTCCCACTAACTGAAACAGCAAACAGACCCAATGTTTTCCTCTCCACCATAGGAAAGAATCTAGCAAGCAAAATTCCAAGCTCAAACACCCATCCATCAGAGTAACTCATGAGCACCTACCCGAATACACTATTCCTAGCCCCAACCAACCCAACAGAAGTCTCACTCATCATCAGCACCCTTAACCTTTTGACTGTCACAAGCCCCTTTCTGAAACTGTCCGTCTATGTTGCAAAATTTTTGGAAAAAAAAAAAATATTATTTTTTCTTATGAAATAATAGAGAATCTTTTCCCGATGGTAATGACACCAAAAGTATGAAACTTGGTCGAAAACTCAGGGAATTACACTCCCACGATGTTACCGGTCTCGGCGACATATACGCATCGGCAATTTCGCCGACTGAGCCCTGTTTTTGGCCAATTCCATTGTTTCAGTTGACCAAACTCATAGCTATTTCTTTAGAACTCCATTTTTTCTATCAACCGAGTACAAGAAACCGCCCATTTACTGATTTGAACTACCCAATAAAGTGGTCAGAAATTGGCAATTTGGCCAATTTCACACAAATTAAAAAAGATATCAATTTCAAAACAGGGTCCAGAATAAACAATGTAGACATTCTTGGCACTAAAATAACATATCCTCTGTTCATTAGTCACGTCTCTGGGCCCCTCTTATATTACTACTGCTTTCTATTTTGATTTTTGATTCATACAAAAAATACAAAATTTACTGTTATGCAGACTACTGTATTATTGTAAAAATGGCATAAATAATATCAGTGCACTAGTGAAAGAACATTAGACTCCCCAGTTGATGCGTATTGGACGTGTGGTGTGATTTGCTTACTCTTGAACATTGGTAAAAATTTAACATTTCCGCTAATTTGAGCTCAATTTCAAGGTTGTTTTCATCGTGAAACTAATCAAAATCATCTCTATTTCTGCAATGTGTTTTCCATTTTATCACGTGAGACCATGAAAACGAGAATACAACAATAAATACTATACGAAAATACACCTCAAAGTCGGTGTTTTAATAAAAAAAAAAAAAACGGTCAGTTTTTTTTCTCATTATGCACTGCATGCTGCAGGATTTTTTTTATGTGGTGCACACTGACCACACAGACCCATTCTCTCACATGTGGGCCTACCAGCTTTCTCCTGCTTGATTTGAAGCCGCTAGAATTATCGAGTATATATACGTCCAAAACACTGGCTCACAAGAAGTATATATACAACCAAAACAGTCAAAGGGTTAAAAACAAGGCAGAGGACATAAATAACTTACCACCTCTTATGTATAAAAAAACATCACAAGTACTGTCACCAATTATTGCAACACTCTTTAACCCTTAAACGGATCAAACGTACATATGCGTTCTCTCGCGTAGCGCCCCAAACGTATGCAGTGGACCCCTGGTATTCGATGGCATCGGTATTCAATAAATCCGGTATTCGATGCATTTTAATGCAAAAATTTTGCCTCGGTATCCGATTGAAAACCCGGTATTCGATACGATTCGTACGAGATGTGTCCATGTGTGGCCTGAACTGCCCTGTGTGTGCCAGTGTTTACAAGCCAGCCAGTGTGCGCGCATCTAAGGATACATTCGCTACATTCCATATTATCACTGTTTTTGGAGATTGTTACTGCAAAATAAGTCACCATGGGCCCCAAGAAAGCTTCTAGTGCCAACCCTGTGGTAAAAAAGGTGAGAATTAGTATGGAAATTAAGAAAGATTTTGAAGGGTTTGGGGCTAACCCTGAGAAGCCTATGCCAGTTGTGGAATCCATTGTGCCTACTTCAAAAATTAAGGAAATGTGTGCACAGTGGGTTGAACTGCAAACCTTTATGGATGAAAATCACCCTAACACAGCTATTGCAAGCCGTGCTGATGACTATTACAATGACTATGTTGTGGCCCATTTTATACAAATTGTAAAGGAATGGGAGGTACACAGCTCTATGGACAGATTTGTTGTGCGACAGAGGTCCAGTGACTCAAGCTGGTCCTAGTGGCATTAAAAGAAGAAGGGAAGTAGCCCCGGAAAAGGACTTGCTACCTCAAGTCCTAATGGAAGGGGATTCCCCATCTAAACACTAACACCATCCACACTCTCCCCTCCTCCCATCCCATCAATCATCACCAGATCTTCAATAAAGGTAAGTGTCATGTAACTGTGCATGTCTTCTTCACTTTGTGTGTATAAAAATTAATATTTCACGTGGTAAAAAAAATCTTTTTTCATACTTTTGGGCGTCTTGCACGGATTAATTTGATTTCCATTATTTCTTATGGGGAAAATTGATTCGCTTTTCGATATTTGATGAGCTCTCAGGAACAGATTAATATCGAATACCGGGGGTCCACTGTATATACGTTTCCTTTGTCATTCATTCAACATTGCCATGATAAGCCTGAGTCGCCTAGACATGAGAGAATGGTAGTTGAGGGCACTCCCTCAACTACCTAAAGTCATACCTTAATAACAGAAGCCAATATCTGTACTCAAATGGAGCGAATTCTTCCACTCAACCAATCACAGTCGGTGTCCCACAAGGAAGTGTCCTTGGGCCACTCCTCTTCCTCATTTACATCAATGGCCTACCAAATGCATCACAGCTACTCAAACCCATATTAGTTGCAGATGACACAAAATGTGTCTTTCACCCAAACCCAGTCACATTGGCTAACGCTGTTAATGCCGAATTGCAGAAAATAACTACCTGGATGATGACAAATAAGCTTACCCTCAATACTGACAAAACCCATTTCATTCAGTTTGGAAACAGAACTGCAAATGTTCCACTTAACGTAACACTAAACGGATCACCCATCACAAGACTCACAGAGGGAAAATTCCTAGGAATCCACCTTGACAGTAGCCTCAAATTCCAGACACACATGCAACAAATTACTAAGAAAATCTCCAAGATAGTAGGCATACTATCAAAGAACGGTACTATGTTCCACAATCAGCTCTCCTTGCACTGTATCATTCGCTCATCTACCCTTATCTCACATATGGAATTTGTGCATGGGGATCAACAGCATTAAATCATTAAGACCACTAATAACCCAGCAAAAGGCTGCAGTCAGAATGATAAATTCCCACTCCCGACAGCATACTCCACCAATATTCAAAAGTTTAAAACTGCTCACTGTTAAGAACATCCATACTTATTCATGTGCCTCCTACATAAATAGAACACTACACTCAAACATAAACCCTCCACTCAAACTTCTCCTCACCAACCTTAACCCCCTTAATTGTCCAAACATAGATCTACGTTCTCTCGCCCAGCGCTCCGAATATTTTGAAAAAAAAAATTTTTTTTTTTAAATGAAGAGGACAGTTTTTTACATAATGTAAAAAAAAAAAATTCTAGTCAGTACTTACAGAGATACAAGGCTGCAAAGTTTGCGCTTGTCATTCACCTGACAGCAACATGAAGAGCTGCCACTTGCAAATGTGTTGCCGATATACCTTTTTTTTTCTCATTTTTTTTTAATTTGTATAATTTTTATGTTCTGATAATGACAACTGGTAGTAATTCTTGTGATTTCATAGTTTATCTTTGTTCTGACACCAATATTAGGTACTGAAATAGTGTTCAAATAGTCAAACACACTGACAGGTGAACATTTTCACCTACCTTAGTCACAATAGGGCCCCACTTATACGGCAGGTTAGGTTCCAGGCTACCGCCATAAAGCGGAAATCACCGTAAAGTGGAACACCTCTTTTTTCCACTTATAAATGCATACAAATACTAGATAACAAGTCTACACTAACATATATTAATCCGTAAACGGTCCAAACGTATATATACGTTTTTACCGCTACTGCCCCAAACGTATATTTACGTTTTATTTTTCATTCCTTCAAAATTGGCGAGATAGGCCTGAGTCGCCTAGATATGAGATAATGGATGTGCGCACTCAGTGTGCTCAGTATCAAAAAAATCTGGGACGCATGGGTACCGCATGGTAGGACCAGTTACATTCAGCTCCATCTTGGGTCAACATCATGGCACATCTTC